ATTTTCACTAGTCCAAACATGCTTCACCTAAAACAAAAACCAGGCCATAATATTAAAGCATGCTCACCTGAGTAAATGAGAGTTTCCTTCCCCATCACTTTCCAATGTAAGTAAAACCAATAGCAGTCAGTAGGATATAAAAGTTCCTACAAACTTTCTAAATATAGGAAAAAGTTTAGAAGAACCAGGAAGTCAAGCACAGTTTTCTAGCCTTAATTTGGGAGGAAGCCCATTCAAACTTCCTGTCCCGCATCCTACCTGTTCGCGTAATTATGACTAATTGATACTCTGGAGTCTTCCAGGATGAGAAAATATGCGACTCCGCCAGCGTTAGAGCTCAGGGACTAGTGGAAACCTTTGATGCTGGAGGAGGGGTGAACCGCAAAAAAGGCCACTATCCCCATCCTATTTGGGTCTGGCTTGGGGGAAGAGGGCGAAACCAGCCAAGAACGCTCAACGCGGGGGTGGGGGGGAGAGACCAGCGTAACATTTTACGGTTCCTGTAGTGAGTCGTCGCCAACCCCCTCCCCGGTCAGTCCTGAGCAAGGGCTGCGGAGGTGGAGGAACGGAGGGGCGAACCGCTTTGCGGGGCGTTTGTTCTCCGCTCCTAGGAGGAAACGAGGCGGACGTCTGGGGCGCCAGACGCCAGAAATTAAAGGTCATTCCATCGGAGTAATGCAGCGAAGGCTCCCTCCTCTCCCGCCTTACCCATGCTGTGCGAGCCCGACTGGGCTGCAACCCCGCCGTCGCCGCTCCTTCCTCAGCCTCCGGGCCTCGCGCTCTAGCAGCCGCCAAGCTCAGGCCGGACTTGGCAGCTCCCCATCGGCACTCGCACGGCGCGACTCGGGCAGGAGGAGTCGGGCTCGCTCCGTGGTGGTGGCGGCGGCGGCGGCGACGGCAGCAACAGCAGCCCGCCAAATCTGCGCCGTCCGCAGCGCTGGCTGGCGGTCTGTTTGGGGTCTGCTCGTGCTTCCTCTTCCTTGCGTCCCGCCCGCCAGATACGGGAATGGGGGCCGGGCTGGGGTCGACAAATCCCGCGAGACCTCGGCGGACTCGCTTCCCTGTCCCTCCCGTAGCGGCGGGCAGCGCTGCCAGCTGCCTGCGGTTGCCAGGTGCGGGCTGTGCCGGCTGCTCCTCCCGCCCGTGAGTCCGTGCCGCCTCCGCGAGGAGGGACAGGAGGCCGTTCTTGGCGCGCTTGATGCGTCCCGGCCTTTCCACGGGAGTCCGTTCGGTATTAAATGGAGAACAAGAGGAGGAAGTGCACGTGCAAGGGCCATTCGCCGCTGAACCTAATTTTGTACCCAGCCTTTCAGCACATTAACTTCAACATAACTTTGGAAAGCCCTGCCTGGCAAAAGGAATCTGTTTTGAGAGGCTGCTACAGACATCCTCCAGTGAAACGTCAACATGGGAAACGGGGTAGAGCCTCCATAGGGGTTTTATGAGATAGGCTCGCTTGCATGGGAGGATGAGGGCTAAGGGATGTAACATCATTTGCAGGGCAAAGATTCTAGAGACAGTCTGGAGCCTCTCCTGTTAAAAGGAAGATGTAGCCCGAGGTGGGAAAGAAGTGTCTCTTTGAAAACCAAGGTGGGCTGGTTGGAACTAAAACTCCAACCTATCGTCAAACTCTTTCCTGTTTGCTTAGAAAACAGCACTAAAGCTTGCTTAGTAGACAAAATGGATTAACCCTCTTATGAGTTCTTTTATTGTGGATTGATAGATACAGGAAGTTACTGTTTTGGGCAGGCATATAAATAACGGGATCCCTGCCTACTCTTGTCATTCTTCAGTTTGTGATTTTTCGAGGCCATCCATTTTAAGACTTAAGAAGAGTAGGTAGGGCCTATCATTACGCAAAGTAAGGCAGGAGCAGGCATAGAGCAGGAAGTGACAACCAGCCATTTAAGAAGAAAGCACATACTATACACCAGATGTTCTATTCAAAAACCCTTTATTTCCTAACAAGAATAAAGAAATTCATCCTAATGCTTAGGTGTTGAACTGAAGTGCATGTGCCAATCCAGGCACTTTTTCTAAATTGAATACAAGGAAGCCTTTGTCTTTTGCTGTAGGGCTCAAAATGTCCTGGGGCTGTGACTCCCTCTCGTTTGCCCCAAATGAAAACGTATGGAACCAAGCATTAGGCCAGCCTTTTCTGTAATTTTAAAAACAACCTATAGACTAGGAACTGAGACTGAAAGCAGACAGTGAGCTGCCTTTACAGCAAATCTTATGAGGTTAATGACTAAAAAAAGGAGATACAGAACCAGAAACCACTAGAATGTTAAAATTGCCAATCCTTGTGCTCAGCCTGTATAGGTATATGATTTGCATACATAGTTTATATTACAGAAATGCCATCAAATTTCAGTGACTTCTTTGCAAAGAAACAAGCTGAATAAGATCTGATGTCACTCATATTTTCACTTAACAGCAATAGCAATAAGACTTATATGCAGCTTCATAGTGCTTTAGAGCCCTAAGTGTTTTACAGAATCAGCTTAATGCCCCCAACAATCTGGGTTCTCATCTTACCAACAGGAAAGATGGAAGGCCAAGTCAACCTTGAACCGTTCAGAATTGAACTTCTGGAATGAGCAGTGAGTTAGCCTGCAGTACTGCATTCTGACTACTGCAACACCATGGCTCTAATAAAAGTTTGATTTGCATATAATATTTATTTGGATGAAAGTGAGAGATCGGTAATTTTTCTTGTAAGTTTTCAAAATATGAAATTTAACTGCTTTATGCCCCAATATCATATATTACATGCAAAATCCTGGTTCACACCATAAAGAGATATTTTGTGAGTCATTTTGGATTGTAAACCATGATTTAGAGTTTAGTGTGAAAATCCTATCAATAAATCATCTTTAGCATGGTGCATAAACCATGGCACTGGCTAAATATGCAGTGTATAGAAATAATGGAGGTTAAACCAAAATTCCTCAAACAGATTAGTCCCTGGAGTGCCTTTAGCAAAGTTACTTTCTTTTAATTAGCAAAAAGTGTCTTTGTTCTAATCCTCACCTTGTTTGATGAGCATCACTGACCCCACTATTTCTCTCTACAGTTAAACTGGCAATTATTTAGATAGTTAAATGTGCACAAATGAGCTTAGTCATTGCACCCTTCCCCACAGTGTTGAACTCTCCAATTTGCATAGGATCAAGAGAATTGTTGGGAGGGCAGAGAGAGGGAAGAAATGGTCACTTCATCACTAATTCACTTTCTTGGCTTTTTCTGCCCATCCTACCTATATTCACAACTATAAAATTGCTCTCCCCTCCCCCATACATCTCAAGGAATAAGCAGAGAAACAGTAGGTTTTGCCATTGCTCACTGTTCTTCAGGTGTTTCTCTTCACAATCTTCAGGTGGTCATGAAGAGGCAGGTGCAAAGCAATTTGTGGGGCCTCTAGCAACCCTGATTATCACTGAGTGTTGTATCTTTTATTTTTAATGAATGTATTTTATTCTTGTGTACACTGATAGCATATGCACCAAAGACAAATTCCTTGTGTGTCCAATCACACTTGGCCAATAAAGAATTCTATTCTAAAAATTCAATTACGTAAATGACTAGCTCTTTCAGTGAAGGAAAAACAACCATTTCATCATGAGGCTGGCAGAAGAGCCATGCCCAGCATGATACACCCAAAGAAAAACAATCAGTAAATCAAACCATGACTTGATTAGCAGATAAAGGCTGCAAAAAACCAGTTTCACTAGTTCTAGGGCAGTCCTAGCCTTTTCTGTGGGCTCCCCAAACCAACTGAATAAGGCGTGTTTTTATGCCTATTAAATAAAAATTAAGAACCATTTATTTTTCCAAAATGTATAGATAACAAACTGGTTTTTGCAAATCCCTAAGCTTCTCTTGCTCAGCCAATCTCTTCCTTGCTCACTTTTCAAGCTAAATGAAAATGTTGGAGCTCAGGTACAGAGGAAATAGTAGAACGTGCCCAGCTTTGTCTGTCATCCTGCCACTGTCAAACATCTCCTTGGCCATTGGAAACATCAATTGCGCTGTGAAACCCCCTTTCTCTGGGAACCTTTACAGATCCATGTTATAGGTTATTCTTAATTAATTAGCTTAATTTGTTGGCCCTTGATTTTATATAATTAATACTTCTCTCATTACTGTATTGTACATATTTTAAAAACATGCTCATTGGATTTTAAAAATATCTATTGTACATATGTGGATGGATGGATGAATACTCTGAAGACTTTTCTGGGAGAAAAATCCTCATGGCTAAACATTTAATTATACATTGTAAATCTGGGACTTTCTTATACTACATTTGATATTTTGGGAGTACATTATTTATAACAGTTTCATAGAATATTGGAATGTATGGTGTGTCCATGGAAAGGTAGTGCCTCTGGTGGAGTGGGCCTG